GCTCAAGTGGTAGAGTGCTGGCCTTGAGGTGAAGAAGATCTTAGGGACAGTGTCCAGGCCCAGAGTTCAGGCCCCATGACCGACAAAAAAAAAAAAAAGTTAAAAACCTGAAAACGGAAATTAAAGGAGAGTTAAGCAAGTGGAAAAGCTTCCCATGCTCCTGGATTGGGAGGATTAACATCGTGAAATGGCAATACTGCCAAAGAATATCTACAAATTCAATGCAATACCAATCAAAATTCCAACCTCATTCTTCAATGAAATAGAAGAAGCAACAAAAAATTTCATATGGAACAATGAAAGACCCCAAATAGCAAAAACAATCAGTCTGACCATCTAGGACACAGTTGTGGGGGTGAAGGGGCTGGGCAAAGGCAGGGAGCACAGCCAACCTGCGGTGTGAACCTGTGAACCTGGGGTGCTGCTCAGAATCCCCTGGCTGCCCCTAGCACAAACTAGGCCCCCCAGGTCCCAAGGCCCAGCTTTGACCTTGGAGCGCCCTCTGCTGGCTACTGCTGGCAGGCACAGGCTCCAAGTGGGCAAAGAGCCCAGTCCAGCCTGGGGCCCAGCCTGGGGCCCAGCCTGGGGCCCAGAGGGCTGTGGGCCACCAGCCCTGGCTGTCCTCTTCCCAGAGCCCGGTCCCCTCCCTCTGCCTCTGGTGCTGTGCTGGCTGGGTCTGCAGAGTACATTCTAGCAGGGGCAGGTGGACTGAGATGGGGCTGGGCCGCGGGCCACCCACAGTGAGGCTGTGCAGAAAGTCTTTCTGCAGAGGTGATGTTTGAACAGAAGTGTTTGCCAGCCAGGAAAATGGAGGAAGAGTGTGCTGGGCAGTGAGAGCAGCATGTACAAAGGCCCCAAGGAAGTGCGACCAGAGGAGAGCAGGCAGGGCCTGGGATGAGGTGGCTGAGGCTTTATTCTAGGCAGATGAGTAACATGCATAAAAGGTAATGGCCATGCATAAAATGGTCCTGATTAAGGAGGGGGAAGGGCCCCAGCCTCTGGCCTGGCCCTGCACTTGGCCTTGGGCAATGGCTGGGAGTTAGGGGGGTTGGTGGTGGCCATTGTGTACAGCCGTGGATCCCGAATGCAAGACCTCAGGTACCTGTACAGGGTGGGATGGGGCCCATGAGTTTGGGTGGATCGAGGTTCTAGAGCCTGGTTAAGTCTGCATCTCCGTGCCCATGAGGGAGACAGGGCATCACTAGGGCCACTTAGCAGTCAGGGCCGAGCTGCGTCCTGACCTGCAGCAGGCACAGGATGCACCAGGGTGCAGCCCTTGCCCAATGCTGAGCCGCACCAGGGACCTGTGCCCAGTGGCTCGTCAACGTGTGGGTTGCAGGGCAGGGGGGCCATGGGGAGCAGGGGTGGTGGGTGGTGTCCAAGGTCCTGCTGCACCCTGTCCCCTAAAAAGAAGAAGGGAAGCATGCTGGAGGACTTCTGGGGGATCCTGTTTGAGCTGGACAACGTCAGCTTCTCCTTCAGCCAGCTGGACAAGAACTGCATGGCCAGTGAGTGACCGGGGCCCCCACCCCTGCTGCCCCCACTGGGGCAGGCCTCTCTAGGCTGGCTTGCTGTCCATGTGCAGAATGAGCAGTTTCTTTTCATTGATGCCCAACTGTCTTCACAGATTGTAAAAAAAAAAACAAAAACAAAACAAAACAAAAACAAAAAGCCACAGTCCCTTCTAAGGGAAGCCCTTCTTCAAGGTGAAGACTTAAGATTTGTAAGGGCTCATCCTGTCAGGAAGACTGCACAGTTCTCCCCTCCTCCTCCTCTTCCCCCTCCTCCTCCTCCCTCTCCTCCTCTCCTTCCCTGTCTCTTCCTCCCCCTCCCCTCCTCCTCCCCCACCCCCTTCTCCTCAAGTTTAAATGCCGCTTTCTGCATAAAGAATGTTTTCCCCAGGCCCCACTCAGTAACCATCAGCCCAGCATCACTCTACACCCCGAGGATGTTGGGGCCTCTTTAGTTCGTGGAGACTGAGAGGTCCCTACATCCGGGACAAGGGCTGTCCTGCGGGTGAAGAGGTGCAGGCTTGGGGTGGGCGCAGGCAGCTTCAGGAGGCAGGGCCCAGGCTGAAGGGCCTCAGGGGATCCCAAGTGGGGCACTGAAGGCACAGCCTGTCCAGCTGGCCAGGCAGGGAGCTCAGGGTAGGAGAACAAGGCATTCCTGGGTCCCTCCCCCGGCCCCCCAGACTGGGGTGACATGGGGCTGAGCCTGGCCTGGGGTGGATGGGTGGTGCCAGCACGCAGAATCGGCCCCAGTGCAGGCCCAGCTGTCCTGGGCCTCGCCCTGAGCCACCTGCCCACCTTGCCCTCCACAGACGCCAACATCTTCTACCACATCAAGGGCCGCAGGCAGCTACACACTGTGCTCTTCACCAAGGGTGAGCTTCCAGCCGGAGGGGGGAGGGGCACGGCCACAAGGCATCCAGGGGCCATCCACCCTCCCAGCTCCTGTTCACAGATCTAGACAATGTGGAGGGGCCTCCACCTCCAGGCAGCCAGGCGGTGGAGGACATGGAGTAGGAGATCAACGCCCAGTCGATGGACAAGGTGCAGCAGTACTACTGCAAGCTCAGGTACCCAAGTAGAGCCGCACACCTGCTGTGTGCGGGGCCTTTGCCTGAGGAGAGCCTCCCAGGATGCATGCAGCAGGCCATCCCTGCCCATTCACAGAAGGGGAAACTGAGGACCAGCGAGCAGCCTAGTCAGGGCAGGGCTGTGTGGATCCTGTCTGTGAGGCAGGAACCGAGTGGGGTCTGTGACAGGCTGTCCGTATATCCTGCATGAGGGCATGGTCCCTGAGGAAAAGGAGTGGAGCCCGGGGAGGAGGGTGCAGGCAGTGGCTGCAGAGCTGGGTTCAGGGCAGGGGCGGGAAGACAGGGAGTGACGCTCCTGTCCTCAGCCATGTCTTCCTCTTAGGGCATTTTACCTGGAACGGTCCAACCTGCCCACCGATGCCAGCACCACAGTGGTCAAGACCGACCAGGTGTGTCTCAGGTCACGGGAAGTGTGGGCTGACAGGAGCCCTGGAGTTGGGCCTCACCCCAGCTAGCATCCTGGCCCAGAAGCCCCTGTGGCTCGGCAGCGCCTCTTCCCGAAGGCTCTGGGATGGCCCGTTCCCCTGGGAGGGCTCCCAGCCCCCTGAGCCCGCTCATTCATCCTTTATTTACCAATGAATTCTGTGAGTTGGAGCCTCACACAGATTAGCTGTGAACCCCAAGCTGCATGTGCCCGGGAGGTGTTCCTGTGGGAACGTGCCCCCCGGACTAGGCACAGTGGCTCAGGTCTGCAATCCCAGCTACTGGGAGAGGTAGAAATTGGGAAGATCAAATTTCAGGGCCAGCCTGGGCAAAAAGTTTGTAAATAAGCCAGGCATGGTTGTGTATGTCTGTAATCACAGTTGCATAGTGTCGTAGGTTGGAAGATGGAAGTCCATGTCCAGCTATTGGACTGCAGAGGTGCTGGGGGCAGGGCTAATGGACTGCCATTCAAGCCTGCACAGGTAGCTGGGGGGCGGGGCTGGTAGACTGCCATTCAAGCCTGCATAGGTGACTGGGGGTGGGACTAGTGGACTGCCATTCAAGCCTGCACAGGTGGCTGGGGGCGGGGCTACTGGACACTGGGCCTGCACACATGGCCTGGGGAGGCGTCTGTGTAAAGCTAGTTCTGGGGAGAGACCACCCGAGCTTTGGAGACGGTAAAGGGTGAAGAAGGCTAGAATACACGGTGGGCACTGGATGCCAGCCTGTGGGTGGTGGGGTGCTAGGGATGGTTCTGAGGCAGGACCTGAGGCAGGTTCATTGGGCCATAGCCTTTGGGAAGGGAGCCGGGCCTCCCCTAGCCACGTGCAGCCTCTTGCCCTGCAGCTGATCCAGCCCATCAATGCCCTGGACGAGCTCTGCCACCTCAAGAAGTCCCTGGTGCACCCCTGGCCCAGTGCCAGTGGCAACCCGGGTGCCAGCCTCATCCCCATCTCCTCGGAGCTCTGCTACCTCCTGGGGGCCTGCCAGATTCCCAAGTGTGGCACGGGCATGCAGTGGTGAGCCGAGTCAGGGGTCCTGTGTGAGGGTATGTGGGCAGGGCTGGCGGGGCTGATATCCACTGCCAGTGGGGCCTGGGTCTGGCCTCACTCCTGTGGCCTCAGTGTGTTTGCGGAGAACTACTCTGTGCCCGGCCTTTGCCTGATGAGAGAGTCTCACAGGTTGCGCACAACAGGCTTTCCCCACCCATTCACAGAGGGGGGAAACTGAGGCCCAGCGAGCAGCCTTGCTAGGGCAGGGCTGTGTGGATCCTGTCTGCAAGGTCTCCCAGGTCCGGGGCTTCAGACAGTCCTGAATTCGGAGTCCTGTGGGTTTCCCACCCATCCTTCTGCTGTTCTTTGTCCTTGCTGAGCCCCTCCCATGTGAAACCTCCACCCCCGCCCCCCAGGGAGTCTCCCATCCCAAAGCAGCCCTCATGTGCCCCCACAAGTGGCACGTGCCCCGGGTCTCAGCCCCCTGTCCTCTGTCCCTGTGGGTGGCTGTGAAGCTTTGCTTTGAGAGCGGCCTCGCGGGCAGCTCCTGGGCTCATGGTGGTGAAACTGTTGCGTTGTCCAGGCCAAGAGGCATCATGTGGCACTGCTACTCCCTGGACCTGGGCAGTGTGGACGTGTGTCTGGGGCAGGTCGGGGAGAGACTCAGAGTGGCCGTCCACTCTCCCCTGCGCTGGTGGGCACTGGGGCTCTGCGGCCAGTGGGGTGCTCGTCCACCCTGCGCTGTGCTCACCTGGAGGCCTCCAAGGATCTGCCTGTCATCCATGCTCCCAAGTCCTCCTCCCTGTCCCCCAGGGAGCCCCATGGAGACCCTGCCTCCTCCTTCCCTTACATGGGCAGAGGGGGCCCCACTGTGACCCGGAGGGAGCCAGGATGGACAGGGATGAGGTGGGGAGGCCTCTCAAGAGCTAGGACCTGGGGTATCTTGGGCCGCAAGGCCCCACATCTTACCGGCCCCCACCTGGTACAGGAGAACGCTGAGTGTCTCGGCAGAGCAGGTGGCCATCCTAGCATGGAGCCACGGGCTGCTGCCCAAGTGCATCATGCAGGCCACGGACATCATGCGCAAGCAGGTGACGCTCCAGTCCGGCCCCGGCCCCAGGTCATGTCTGGAGGGGGTGGCAGCAGCTCTGAGCTGGCCTGGCCTAATGTTTCTCCCTTTCCAGGGCCCCAGAGTGAAGATTCTGGCCCAAAACCTCTGCATCAAAGACCTTATGCCCTGGGGGCACTGTGGTGAGTGGCCGTCCGTCCCCTGCACACCTCCCTGCAGGAAGACCAGCCGAGTCTCACCCATCAGATGCAGCCACTCTGAGGGCTGCCCCTCATTTATGGGGAGTGGAGGGCATGGGTGTGGCTGGGTGGACTGTCCTGCTGATCCCTGCTCCCTGTACCCCTGCCCCCATGGGTGACTTGTCTCCTCCATTCACCTGCTTCTCTCCCTACCTGGCTTCACTCCTCCCACAGGCCTGAGGCCTGGCCATGAGTTCTGTCTGAGTCATTCATTTGGAAGTGTTTTGACTCCCCAGAAGTAGAAACAGCAGAATCTGTGCGCCCTGTGATCAGCTTGTCCAGTGCTTTGTCAAGGGCAGGACCCGTGCCTGGGTCCCACAAGGCTGGTCATGCCCTGGCCCCATTTGCCTGTGCCCGAAACCGTGCTAGGCTCTCACCACACAAAGCCGTTGGGCCCAGCATGCATACACCCTGGGAACTAGGCCCTGCTGCTGTCCAGCGTGGGGCACTGAGCCCCCGAGGAGTTTGGGCTTGTCAAGGTCATACAGCTAGTAGATGTCTGTGCAGCCTGAATCCAGAACCTCGTGGTCTAGGCCTGGATGCCCAGCCACCCCCATGGTGGCACATCTGCACCATGACCCATGTCTGGTCCTTGTGCCGGCAGATCGTCCCTCCCCATGGGCCTAACCCCTCCCCCTTGAAATGCAGAGACCCTAGGTTCTCCCCCCATGGCCCCTTCCCTTCCAGGGGGTGCCATGAGGGCTGCCAGCAGAGGTCCCCAAGATCCACGGAGGGGGAATGGGCAGAGGCCCAGGTGTAGTCAGACCTGAGTGCGCCATTTGCTGGGTACCCACTACACAGGACAGGCGTGGGCAGCACCTGTCTAGCACGCCACATCTTTTGCCCCATTGAGCGTTTTGTTGTGAGCAGGAGTCACCTGTTCCACGAAGGTGGAAATGCCAATGGAGCTGCCCCTCTCCCAGCCTCCTCTGTCCCCCACCAGCCTCTACTGCCTCTGCCAGCCTCCCGTGGATGGAGACCTCTGAACAGCAATGTGCCACGTGCTCAGCCACAGCCTCTGCAGCGGCCACGTGGGAGGGGCCAGCGACCTCAAGGCCTGGGGCGGAGATGGCCTAGGCTCCCACCCAGCCTCCTCCACGCACCTTCAAGGACAGCAGGAGCCATGCCCATTGAAGGACCCCTTGCAGCACTTCCTCCACACTTGTTCCCGGAGCCCAGGGAGGCTGAGCTTACAGCTCACGGGTGCCAGGCCCCGGGCGTGGAGACCCACAGGCCCGGCTCCCTCCAGGAACTCAGCCTGCACTTTGGAACGCTGGTCCTTCAGCCTTCACTCCGAGGGACCAAGCTTTCTCCTTCAGCTCTGGCCTCCAGCCGCGCCCCTGGTCCTGTACTAACCCACCAGGCACACATGGGGAGCCGGGCCTCTGCAAGGAAAGATTGGGGCTGGGACAGGGGCCTGGTACCCAGAGGACACAAGAGTCCACCAGCCTTCAGTGTCCCCACAGCTGGTAGAACCGGAGCCATCAGCCCCGAGCACAGGATTGGCTCCGACTTTATTTAGATGGTGTGACATCCCAAGATTTATACCGAGGTTTTTGTTGTTACCTATCGATTTTATCAAAGACTTTTCTTTTCTAAGGTTGTATGATTCTGCCTTGACATTTTACATTTGAAAGAAAAAGCCTGTTGTGTTAGTGGGACCAATGCTCGGTCGCACTGACAGCTTCTCCCAGTTCTATAAAAATGAAACAAAAGAAAACGAACTAAATTATTGAAAAAAATGTGGAGATGTCAGTATGCATTTCCTTTTTCAATAGTAGAGTCACGCGGTATGGCTTCCAGGTCCCCAAGTCCCGCAGGCCCTGCGCCCTCTCTTTGCGGTCCAGCGTGTTTGGGTTGGGGGTGATGGATGGAGAGGTGGCCAGGCCAGCCCCTGGGCAGTTCCTGGCACAAGGCCATCTTACTTTTGGGGTGTTATCTTCCCTGAAGAGGGCACAGGTGTGTCCAGGGAGGTCATGTTGTCAGCTTCTGAGCCAACAGGGGGTGCCCCCCAGCTGTTCAGCCTTCCAACTCCCTTTCATTACAAGAATGTCCCAGCAGGGGAGAGAGGCTCCATTCCCCCCCCCCCCACGCTGCTCCTGCTAAGACACCTTGGTCCCCTGGGTCCCCAGAGGACACTCCTCCTGCCATGTGTGCAACTGTGTCTTGTCATAGACAAAACTTGGGAGCCCCTCAGCCCTGATGAGAGAAATGGCCCCTGTCCCCCTGAGGGACGGCGCACATGCTTGAGGCGTGTGCCCTACGCAAGGTTCTCCTTAAATTCACCATAGATTTCTATTGCTATTGAAGTCAGTTTCATCTGGTGCTGGGTTCTATGGGCAGTAGTATCCAGCCTGAGCTGGCATAGGCCAAGGGCCATGCAGATCTCAACTGTCTGTGTCCCTAAGCCCGCCAGCCCTGTGCCAGCTAGGTTGCTGCTCTGTGTCTCAGAGCTCTTTCAAGGGCTGGGGCACAGACTCCCTTAGATTACAAGATGGGTCTGTAAAACATAACAGATTTTCTTTTTAGTTCTGGGGCTTGAACTCAGGGCCTGGGTACTGTCCCTGAGATTTTTTTTTTCTTCTCAAGCCTAGTACTCTACCACTTGAGCCACAGCACCACTTCTGGCCTTCTCGGTTTATGTGGTAGTGCAGAATTGATCCCAGGGCTTCATGCATGCTAGGCAAGCACTCTACCACTAAGCCACCTTCCCAACCCCAAATAACAGATTTTTTTTTTTTTTTTTGTCGGTTGTGGGGCTTGAACTCTGGGCTTGGGCGCTATCCCTCAGCTCTTCAGCTCAAGGCGAGTGGTATACCGCTTGATCTACAGCACCATTTCTGGTTTTCTAGTGGTTTATTGGAGATAAGAGTCTCACAGACTTTCCTGCCCAGGCTGGCTTTGAACTGTGATCCTCAGATCTCAGCCTCGTGAGTAGCTAGGATTACAGGCATGAGCACCAGCTCCCAAATGACAGATTTTATATTGTATTTAAAACTGAGCTCTGTTCAACCAAAGGTGAAAAAACAGTGACAGCTGTTTTTCCAGAAGTTTCTGCCCCGTCCTGGAGTCCTATGCTTGTCAAGGGGTCAGGGTAGCCCTCGAGTTGCCACTCCCAACCCACAAACCCCATTGCACATGCAGTTAAGTGGAGTTTAAAATACTCAGGGGAGTGGTCTCAGTTGCTGGCCAATCGGTGATTGGCTGACTATAAACAGCCAATCAGAACTGGCGGCAGTGGGTCAATCAGGAAAACCTGTGTCCATGTCTTGAGTGAGCCCCAGTGGATCCCAGGCTGGCTGCCAGTTCTTCACCTGCCTGGGCCTGCGGTCCTATGGTGCTGCCTGGAATCCTGGGCTCAACATAGGGAGTCTCCCTGTCTAGTTCCCCTGTCCCTCCCTGCCTGTCTCTCTCCCATCTCTCCCTCTTTTCCTCAGTCTCTCCCTCTCTTCTTTCCTCCCTTGTTTCCCTAGTTTTTCTCTCCCCTGTTTACTCGCCCTCCCATACTTCCTGCACTTGGGAAGACCCCAAAGTCTGTGAGCCTTTTTTTTTTGGGGGGGGGGGGTGATCTCCTGAGTGCCTTTCTGTTGGTCACAGCCATCTTAGAGTCCCCTGAGCTAACAGGCCTTCCCAGCTAACCTTTCTTAAGAGCCTGGACAGAAAGTGCATCCCTAGGAGCTGTTAACAGCACTCAGCATCTACATCTGCCACTTGTCTGAGCACCCACCACACTGGGCTGGCAGGAAGGCTTGGCTGAGACCTTGGAACTTAGACACTGTGCCTGTCCCCTGACCAGCAGCTGTCTACTTGCCAAGCAACCCCTCTCAGGATGTCGCTGTCTCTTGATTCTTCTGTAAACAATGGAGATGGACCAGACCTGGCTGTAATCTGGGGCTACAGGGGGCCCTGGGCCAGAGGAGTTCCAGGAGGTTCGCTGTAGGCCTGTGGTGTGCATGGGATACCTGTCCAGCAGAGAGCGCTGGGGACCATGGCGTGCCTGTCGGACCCAATGCCTACTTGGGGTTAGCTCTGCCTAGAAGTTGAGGTGGGACTGCTCGGATGGGTTGAGCTCATCATAAATGCTAGTTTCTCTTGACGTTTTCCATTTTTCTTTCTTTCACTGGTATCAAGGTTTGAGTCCAGGGTCTCACACTTGCTTTGCTGGCATTCTACTACTTGAGCTGTGTCCCCAGCCAAGCTTTGTGATGATTATTTGGGAGGTAGAGTCTTGACTTTCCTGCCTGGTCTGGTTCAAACCTTGATCCTCCAGATCTGAGTGTCCTGAGTCACCAGGATTATAAGCATAAATCATAATAGCGTAGGAACGTGATCTTGCCTTCCCTTCTCTCCTTTACACTCCCAGCTGGATCTAGAAGGATGTGGAGATCCCAGTTTAAACTATACCGAGAGGTCCTGCGAATCGAGACCAGGTCCCCACATTGTGTGTGTGCTCTCTACCCGAACCATGGAACTATGGCCGCAGGGTGGTGCTGTGGGCCAGGCTGTCCCCTGAGGAGCTCATGGAAGGAAGCTGGCTGCTCCAGAGGTGGGTGAGTCTGAGCCCAGCCCAAAGCTGCTGCAGTCCTGGGCACGGAGGGGTGGGGGGCAGAGGCACAGAGGGTCCAAAGCAGGGCATCCAGGAAAGGGCTGTGGGCTGAGTTTGAGTCTCCCAGAGTGTGCTGTGACCCTGAGCAGTCTCCAGTGAGGCTGTTGTCCCAAACACCTCATTCCCCTTTGGGAGCAAATGAGGCAGAATCAATGGGGTT